AGCCCAAATCATAAGTCCGATACTGTTCATCTGGATTGAGTTTGTATTCATAAACTTAGTCTGATCCTTCGTTTTTGGTTATTCTTAATTATTGTTCCACTTTTCTTCATCGGAGTCAAAATATTAAACAAAATCAATGATAGTAGTCAAAACTGAAATTTCGAACTTATTATTAATGATTTGAAATCGAAGATTCATTGCTTTGAAATCGAACATGTTTTTGGAGTTAGATTTCGATGGAGTATCTGTATTCTTTTGTGTCAAAGTTGATTTCGTTGTTAGATCGTTAGTTTGAATTGAGAATAAGTGAAATCGAAATGAAGACTGAAAATCGAAATCGATTTGATTAACAAAAAGAACTTGGAATCGAAAGTCAAAAGTAGACTGGGATTACTTGGTGTCGTTCAATATTTCGAATGGTTGATTTGTTGAAAACAAATTCTTGAGTGGATCAATATAAAATTCGATGGGTTGCAGTTCAATAACGAAGGGTTGCTTTGTGATATCGACTGGGAAGGATGGAAAATCGAAGTGTTTGAAGTTGTTGATGTCAATTTTGTTATGCGATGTTCGAAGGATCGATCATTGATTCGATTTTGGGGTCACTGTAATGATAACGAAGTAGTGGAATGATGTCAATAGTCAAAGGTGAAAGAAATTGGAGTGGATGTGTAGAACGAAGAGTGATTTGGAGTCGATAGTTCGATGGCTTGTTGAATGAAAACCGAAGGACGAGCAGATGGTCGATGGGATCGTTTTTGTTATGGATAGTTCAATTTTGACTTCGCTTTTGTGTCAACATCTTGATAATGAACAGATTATCGAACTCAGTTGCTTGGGTTAGAACGTTTCGAATGATGGGGTTAAGGATCGATGGTTTCTATTCCTTGATCGCAACTGGAAATTGATGATTTGATATCTAGGTGGAATGATTAAAAGTGAAGGCTGAGTTTTGTTGCTTGATTACTAACGAAAGGGAAGAAGGATAGATAACGAAGGGTTGAAAAATCTGTGATTGAATTCAATTTTGGGGTCTCACTGTTTTTGCAGACTTCGCTTTTGAAGATTTTGTTTTTGTGATGACGAACAGGTTGTATGGGTTGTAGTTCGTTAGCGAAGTCTTGAGGTCAATGACTATTTGTTAAAAGCGAAGCAATGGACTTCGTTGACGAAGTCTTTGAGACGAAAAGCGAAGGGTTTGGAGTGACACTCATTTATGTAATGATCATTTTGGAGTGTTAGTTTTAGAGAGAGAAATAGCAAATGCATTTGTACTCTTTCTATCAAAAACTAATGAGAGTTTAAACCCAGATTTATTTACCCCCATGTGTTCATGATTTGTATGATGACTAGATATTTCATATTCCGCATTTGTCATCATAATCAACACCACTACAATAAGTTTATTGATCCAGAAAGAAAACTTAACTTTTACCTCGATACAACTGTTAAAGCTTGTGAAAACTTTTCTAGATCTTCACACGACTTTGATTTTGTTGACTTCAATACGATCGTTTCGAAAAACATCCGGGAGTCAAACTCTTTTGGTTAGTTCATTTAATATTAACATTTGTTATATAACATCCTAATTCCTTTCTTTGGACAAAAAATTGATCATTTTTATTAACTTAAGCCTATATTTTGTTGCTTTTGTAGATATTATTGGACATATTTTTGAATATGAGAGTATGGATACCTCTGAACACGATAAATCAAAACATAGAATGCCACATCTTCAAGATATAGAATATTCACGATTATTACATTCAAATAATACAATTTCTTTTATAGTATACCTGATATTAGTTCATTGTTTCAGGGATACTAAGCTTAAAGTAACTTTGTGGGGTCAGAATGCCTACTACATGTGTGATTTTCTTGATAACAATAACAACCTTGCTCCAGTTGTTGTTATTGTTCATTTTTCCAAAGTGAAGCTTATTAATTGTTTGTAATTATTTTTAACAACCATTTTCTAAAATTTTATACATAATTAAATAACCAATTTTTTTGCAAGTCGTCCTTTTTTATCCATCTACTTTTATGTTAGTAGGTTGTTCATAAACAATGATACATGAAATTACAAGCTACAAAAACAAGTACTTTAATGTATACTTTCCTTTGTATTTTCATCAACAATAAGTTTGTTGATCCGGAAAGAAAACTTAACTTTTACCTCGATACAACTGTTAAAGCTTGTGAAAATTTTCTACATCTTCACACGGCTTTGATTTTGTTGACTTCAATACGATCGTTTCGAACAACATCCAGGAGTCAAACTCTTTTGGTTAGTTCATTTAATATTAACATTTGTTATATAACATCCTAATTCCTTTCTTTGGACAAAAAATTGATCGTTTTTATTAACTTAAGCCTATATTTTGTTGCTTTTGTAGATATTATTGGACATATTTTTGAATATGGGAGTATGGATACCTCTTAACACGATAAATCAAAACATAGAATGCCACATCTTCAAGATATAGAGTATTCATGATTATTACATTCAAATAATTCAATTTCTTTTATAGTATCCCAAATATTTGTTCATTGTTTTTTGGATACTAAGCTTAAAGTAACTTTGTGGGGTCAGAATGCCTACTACTTGTGTGATTTTCTTGATAACAATAACAGCCTTGCTTCAGTTGTTGTTATTGTTCAGTTTGCCAAAGTGATGTTTATTAATGGTTTGTAATTATTTTTAACAACTATTTTCTAAAATTTTATATGTAATTAAATAATCAATTTTTTTGCAAGTCATCCTTTTTTATCCATCTACTTTGATGTTAGTAGATTGTTCATAAAAAAATGATATCCATGAAATTACAAGCTACAAAAACAAGTACTTTCATTCATACTTTCCTTTGTATTTTCAAATTTAATTTTTTCATACTATAATAAACTTATTTCCTTTCTTTTTTATAAATGAACAGATTGGTTTCTCAAAATCAACAACAACTTTCATCAAGTGGAATCAAGATGATTGCATCAAAACAAGACACAGAACACGATGACTTTCTGAAAATCATTTGTTTTCTAACATTGATGATTTGTTTGAACCTTTAAAGGTACTTTACATTATTTTTAAAGTTGTTAGTTTAATAAACTTTTATTTTCATATTTTAAAAGTGTAACAACCATACAAAGTATATTGTTATAACCGGCCTAACATACACTTTCGCAAACTAACATTTATTAACATTGAACATTATTTAAATTTTCAGGAAAAAACGGTCATTATTGTTGGTACTATTTAGGGAATACGTCAAAACATACATTGGTATTACCTTGCTTGTAGCAAATGCAAAAAGTTATCAAGAGAAAAACGGTCTCCTACTGATAAGGTTGATGGTTCTTATGAAGTGACCGAAATCGTTACTTATGAATGTGCTAATCCTATATGCAAAAATATCCAAATTTCGGTTATTCCATGATATTACATATTTATTTCACATAATAACAATATAACTTTATTATATTTGTGTAATATAATATAATTTTATAGTTTATTTAGATTTAAAATCCCACTTCGGGTTCAAGACAACACAAGAACCTTAACTTTAACCTCAGTTGGTCAAGAAGCAAAGAGTTGTTCAAATTCACAGCTAAAGAGTTGTATGAAAAAGACAAGAAGGTATTATTTTATAGTTGTTAATTACTTATTTAAGTTATATATTACATATTTTACATACAATTTTTCTAACAATATTTATTTCTATTTTAGCTTGGTATCAGTTTGGATTTGTTTCTAACGGAGTTGAAAGTTGTGGTGGACAAAAGGTTGACAATTAAGATTGATATTACAAGTTACAATGTCAATAATAAAAGTAATCTTTATCGGATTGCAAGATTAACTGTGAATACATAAATAATTGATGAACCGGAAAAAAGAATCTTATTCCACAGGTTTTTTTCAACACTTATGTTTATTTTTTACCCAATTAACCCAACTATATCTGAATCAATAGCATTTTGTTTTGTTCTTATGATGCGACCTGGTAACTCTAATTCATTCCTGATTGGTTCTTCTGATATTGGTTCCCAAGAGACCAAACTTCTCTAATTCATTGGTTCCCAAGAGACCAAAGTTCTCCGGGTTGTGCTTTTTAAATTATAATTCTCAAATATTTTGTTTTAATGTATAACAACTAACTAAAATTTTTTTAGGGTTCTTTTTCACAGACAGGTGAAAATTTAACACCATGTGCCAGGGACAACTCAACTCAACAAGTCCTACAAAGTTGATTTCTACACCAACTGACTTGAAAAGAAACCTTCCTACATGCATATATATTGATGAAATGGAGAATTTGTCTACTTCTAAAACTGCTCGATTGTCACCACAAGATAAACAACCAATGCCACTTTTGTACCCAAGAAAGAAAAGTAAATACGTTTTATTTCTACAAACAATCTTAGTTGATGGTTAATTTTGTTTCCGCATCATAGACTCCTAAGCCTTTTATATTTTTAACTTGGTTGGTTTTGAATGGGTTTTTTTTGGGATTTGATGGTTTTCATCTTTGTTTCTTGAAAGTACATTGGGGTTTTTTGTCAGTCCTATAATGTCGTTTGCTATGTTATTTTCTTTTTGGTACAATTGATTTTGGAGTACATTGCTTTTTTCTCCCAACTTATGGAAAAATTACCTTCATATGTGTGTTTTGGCAGTTAGTTATATGTTTAATTTTACATATCACTTTCTTTGGCAGTTAGTTATAAGTTAAACAAAAACATCGCTTGCTACATAATAGTAGTGAAGTGAAAGGGTAAAAATGACATTTTTATTGTTACTTGGAAAATTCAGTAATTATTGAGTTACTATATTTAAAATTTATGCATGAACTTAATGAAAGACCAATGAAATTATACCTGTTCAAAAATAACTCCAAGTTTGCCAACAACTAATTTCCCATCATCTCGGGGTAACCACAATTGTTCCCACATAAAATCATAAAAGTAACATGGTTAGACAGAGGGTAAAAATGTTGTCTTTAACCTCAAGGCCACTTCCATGTCAGAACAGCCATGGAACGTGATCGAGAAATGCATCTACAATACCCATCAGCCTACCCCAGTCAAATTTTCCTACTTAAATGTTTAAGTGAATTTCCGAAATTTCCCATTACCTCCATTAAACTCCCAACTCAGCAAAATCAGGAACGTGATCTACTTTTCAATTTAAACTCAATTAAAAAAAAATCAAACTCAATTTTAGAAAACGCCTTCACCCGTTTTCTATGCATTTAAAAACCAAACAAATCAGGGTCAAAATGAAAATTCATAAATCAAATCAAAGATATCACTAAAATTCATACTCAGTTAATTTCGTCCATTTAACTTATTTCCTCCTAATTTTCTGCAATCCCTTTTCAACTCAAATCCTATCTATAATTAAAACTTATTTATAATCTACTAAATCCAATAAAATCAGCAACACGATAATATCTAATACAATTTCAACAACAATAAAATCATAAAATCAATGATTATATTGCGAAGATATTCAAAATTTAATTTTATATCTATAAATATACATGTATACGTGAAATCCATCTTTTTTAAATTCATCATTCGTCTTCTTCCTATTTCAAGTGCATCTACAAAAGCCTCTTTCGTCTTTGTCACCTCAATTAGCTTCATACAGGTTCAAGGCATCAGGTGTGTTAATTTTTACAATTCATGCCAACTAAACCTCTCTTTTTACTTCTAAACCTATAGGAATTCCAAATTTTAACAAACAAATACATCGACTATGTTATGGTTTTGGTATTAAATGATCTAATTAGGAAAGCAGTAACAAATAAAAATATGTTGCTATTTTTTATTGTTATTGTCTTGATCATGTAATGAATAGCAATAATGCAATATACTTTTGATTTCAATTATATTTTATTCTTATTAAGGGAAAAATACAAATTACGATGCTATCCATTTGTTGTTTGTATATGTATGTTTATTATTTTGTAAAATGTATATTTTTTATAGTTTTTAGTCAAAATGACCATTTTGATTAATAAATCCACTTCAATTATTTATTAATTTTAAACTGCGACATTGTCGAAATGGTCCCTTTTACTTTTACTGTATAGCTTCCTACTTCAATAAATATACCATATCTATCTATTTGTTTTAAAGGACAAAAACATTAACTTTGTTATGGTTTTGGTATTCAAGGCTCAAATCAACAAAGCAGTCACAAGTCTATATTTTCTGTTATTGTTCTGATAATGCAAGAAATAACAAAATTTTCAAATATTATGTTTGCAGAATATGTCTTTAGGTAAGAAATTGTACCTAAAAAACATCGACCAACTCGAAGACGATACCCATATTAAAGTTCGAGTACTAAAGATATGGAACTTCATAAAAAATAATATTATTCTATCAATGGAGATGGTTGTCATGGATGAAGAGTTTGCTTGGTACAAGTATTTTATTTTGGATATTTAGAATTTTTGGTTTAGGTATGATTGGGTAGACACTTTGACTTGATTTCACATTTTTTTTTTAATTTCTGTATGGTTTAAGAAGACAACTTCGTTTGTGTACTATAGCAACGTGCTTCTTAATTTATTATTAAGGCATTATAGGGTGAAACATATAACCAATTATACCACTTAAAATTGCTTTGTATCAAAATGAGATTGCTATAACCGGTTAAATTTTTCAAAGTAAAATGGTGTAATAGGAACAAATGAAGTCGAATAATATGATAGATAAATCTATTAAAATGTGTTGGGGGGGGGAGAGAGAGAGAGAGAGAGAGAGAGAGAGAGAATTTACTATAATACCAGGAGATGATGCGTGGATGATGTCCGACTTGAACTTTTAACTTCATTGATGATTCCAGGGCTCGACGCAAGGGAAATCGATTCTTGTATCTAGACACGTACCTGTTATATAGATGAGATAGCAGCAAATGAGACTTGATCAATTTGTTTAAGTGATGATAACAATTAAGAATAACATATGTTTATAGATATATATATATATATATATATAATATATAGATATATATATATCTATATATATATATATATATATATATATATGTTCTTTCTAATTTTTAAACACTCTTATGCAACTAAATGGCTTTTATATATATATATATATATATATATATATATATATATATATATATATATATATATATATATATATATATATATATATATATATATATATATATATATATAAAAAGCCATTTAGTTGCATAAGAGTGTTTAAAAATTAGAAAGAACATATATATATATATATATATATATATATATATATATATATATATATATATATATATATATATATATATATATATATATACCATAATGTGCAAATCCAAATGACTTTAAAGATATATACAGAGATGAGGTATAATGTGCATGATTTGGGGATGACACATATTTCCAATTAAAACAAGTTTCATAGATGTTATGTCGAAAGGGAGTCTATATAATATAGATAGCAACATATCATATTAAGTGAGATGTTTTCAAAACTGGAATTATTAAAAAAACTTAACGTCACTTTATAAATAAGTTTTTAATCAGGTTTTAGATAATGAAAATTCTAGTAAGTGGATTTTAATAAATTTTATCGCTTCACGTCATTGTCGTTGATATGGTATCAATATCTAACCCTTAATCAAGAAATTCAGCCATACTACATAAATCAATTCTGGAATAAATTTAAGAAATGTGTCCAAAAATGAACTTTTCTGAAAAATATATACACAGACCTATTTTATTTCACATAATAATCTTTTCCTCATCTTTAGGATAAAGTGGGATGTCTTTCTTCTTGTAATTCTCATAATCTCTAAGAATAATCTTTTCTTTGTAAGTCTAATATGATACGACTATGAATACGATCAAGCAAAAAATGCCAATATTTGCCATAACATATATTTTCTAATTGTGGTACTAACCACTAGAATCGCAGATTATAATTACTTGAGAACCGCATTATGTTTGTGATGAATAACATCAAATTCACAACATATCAATCCAATTTTTGGCAAGAACATGACAATATATTACAAGTTGACTTTCTACCTAACAACTTGACATTCTCTTGACACAGTTTCATAATAGCTTAAAAATAGCTTCCCATTGGAATAATTTTTTTTTCCAAATATATAGATTACTTGCATGTTAATTAAGCCAAGAAATAATGGGATGTTTGATCTCGATTCTTCACTTAGTAGAGAAAAATACAAAAAAATAAATAATTTTTTATTATTTTCACCGAGATTCATGCATGCTTAACAACAATTTTTTTAATAGTTTCAAAATTTTAAAACAGATTATCTTTCCTTCCACAAAATTTCAAAAACAAAAGATCAAACCTAAATTAAAAGATTATAAAACCCTAACCTTCTTTTAAGTTGTTTACTTTGATGCGTTGTTACTCTACTGATAGTACACACTTTTTGCATTCTTGATTCATGCTGTCCTCTCCACTGCCTACTATAGGTACACAATTCTTTACTTCTGAAAAATCGATACTTTCTGTGAAGATTGAAGTCGATTTCTAGGATACGTTTGCCTCCGATCCCCAATTTTGTGAGTTTAACAGATCCACAGAGATAAACGAATAAGCCTTACCCCACCAATGTGTTTTTGTTATTGATTTCTAGCGATAGAGAATTGCGATTGTAATGTGTGTTTGTGCGTCAGACAAATACAAAGATAAAGAAGAGTACATTGAACAAAGATGTCTTATCTTCGAACTAAATAAAAATCCAATTTATTCTCCATCACTTACTTCTCCCTGAATTACATATATGCTCCATGTTGAAGTCAATTTGCGTAAATGGTCACCGTTTCACAATAATTGACAAATATTACATTAACTAGTGAATGTTTACCAAAAATTTATGTACATTTTTATTTAGTATCATTCGCTTTTTTTTAAACTAATATTTATTTCATGTTCAATCCTTATCATGTACTCTACTAAGTCTAAAAAAAATTAAATAATTTCTACTTTAATAATAGAAAAACATATATTTATGGTGTTGTGTTTACATCATACATATATTAACTGTGTTTAATATAAATATTATTTGTTTATATTTTATTTTATCAATGGTATATAAATATAGGATAAATAAACTTTTTATATTAGGGTATATAAAAAAAATAAAAAATACTTATATGTAATCATATTACAAGAATTGACCGACTTACAGACTTGTATAACACAAATTGCAATTATATGTAAAGTATTAGCATAATGTTAGTTTATATGTTATTTTCCTTTAATTTAATCATATTGTTTATTGCCTATCATCTTATTTTATCAAGTAATTGTTGTTATTTATTCAGATTGCAAATATATCATGAAGTCGTTTAATTCTAAAAAGAGTAGAAAATTAAATAGTTTTTATTTAGATAACAAAAATAACATTAATTTGTCTACTACATCAATCCAACAAACTTCAACCGCTACAAATGTTATTACTTCAGCTTACAACGATACGTTTTTTCTTTAACATTTTTTTAAAAAAGATTTTGTTACAAAATTTTAAGCTTTAAATAAATCTTTTAATAACATAAAAATATGATCATATATTTTCATATTATATAAATAAAAACTTTTATAATTTCTATATAAATGTATATATATATATATATATATATATAGTTAAATTCATATTTAAATAAATATAATATCATCCGGAAGCAATTTCGTAATCAAACAATAACATGTACTATTCTAACACTAATCCGTATTAACATAAAAGGAAAAAAACAAATAAATTTTCTACTTCATCGTCCGCTGAAGATTCATCATCTGCAATATTTGTTAACAATTGTTACAAAGGTTCATTTCTTTCTTCACTATTATTATTATTGATTATATATTATTATGAAAAATTTAATGTTAACAAAATTTCAATTATTTATTATTTTAAATTTTATATCAACATAATTGTTTACATTCTTATATATTTTATATCATATACTTTTATTCCTTGTACAGAAACAAACAATAATATGTACTACTTGAAAGCAACAGAGAAAAGAAGACATAGAAAATTATATTTGGATAATAAGAGATCGAAGAAAATGAATACACGATCAAGTGTTATTAATCCATCTACTGCCCATGTCTTAAAACATGGATAACTGTAATTTTCTTATTTTATATTTTTCACTTTTTACACTTCATTTACCTATATAAAAAATACATACATTCTCATCTTTTTATATTATTCCCCTATACTAATATGAAATTTTACATTCTAATTTTATTTTATAACAGATGTCTTCAATTTTATAACAAGTTATTATTTACAGATCAATTAAAAAGCATTGTTCATCAAAATGAAATGTTCATTCCTATAAATCACGTGGAAACTAAAATACACCCCTACAATCTTCTCCTCCATATATAAATGTTAGAATTCCGTTATCTAACATTTCAAATGGTAATAATTTTTGTTTTTAAGATTTACTTTTAACCACTTTGAAATAAATTTATATATCCTCACTATTTTTTTCCAGCTAATATTAGTAACTACGCCACTTCAACGTTACCAAATAAAATATATTACTTTGTACTTTCTAATGGTATGACATCGAGAAATGCATCTACAATAATTGGTTCTTCATCATCAATCAAGTTAAATCCAGGATGTTATAAATTAAAAAGAAAGTCCAAACATTTATCTCTTATTCCATTGACTGACTTGACATCAGATGTAGAAAATATACATGAAGTCATTACTGAAAACCTAATAGTTGGTATTTCCAAATGTAATCAATATATACCCATTTTCCTTTTTTGTTACAACTAAAATACCGTATTGTATATAGATATAAATTAAATATTTTACTTATACGACATTATTTTTTATAGAATATTTGGATCATGGTGATCAAATTGTTGTATGTCAAACATGTCATGAAAAGATATAAAAAAATGAATCCATTAGAGGAAAACAAAAAGAGAACACAAATTATTCATTATGTTGTGGTTATGGCAAGGTTCAACTACCAAATTTAAAGAACGCACCACCAACTTATGAAAGAATGTTTTGAGCAAAGGATTCTAAAAGCAAAAACTTCATCAAAAACATTTGACGTTACAATTCAATGTTTTCGTTTATGTCGATGGGTGGTAAAATTGATTTTTCAATCAATAGAGGAAACGCTCTATAGATTTCCAGACTTGGTTGCCAAAATTATCATAGTATTGGAAGTCTTTTACAAGCAAATGGATCGCAACCAAAATTCTCTCAGTTATACATTTATGATACCGAGAACAAAATTTCAAATAGACAAAGATGCTTTGGGTATATTTTCAAACTTCTTATTCATACTTAATTTTAATCCTTTTCTATTTTTGTACTAATATTATGTATACATTCATTTTTTTAGTCGGGAAAACATCAGTCTACATCAATTGATAATTATATTATTGAAGATTTGAAGGTGATGTTAGATTCAAATAATGTCTTGGTTAGCTCTTATAGAATGGGAAGGGATACTTTTCAGAAAAATCCTCAAGTTGCTATGAAGTTAAGAATTATCGGGAGAATGGATCGAGATGGAAGGACATATAACCTACCAACTGCTTGTGAGGTTACCACTTCAATTGTAGATGACATTTTTTATTCATTTGAAAATAGAGATATCGTTGTTCAAACGAAATCGGGATTTCTACAACGTATCAGTGAATTGCATCATTCTTATCTTCCTCTCCAATATCCAATACGATTTCCATATGGGGATGATGGTACGTTGACATTCTTCATATAGGTGTTACATCTACAACCAACAACAAGCGGGCGAAATGTAAAATAAGAGAATTTTTCGCTTTTAGAATTCAAGACAGGGATCATTCGTTCTCACCGATTCTTAATTCAAAAAGGTTGTTTCAACAATTTTTGGTTGATGCGTCTAATATGATTGAAAGTGGGAGATTGTATTACATATGTAGGAAACAACATGTTCTTAGATGCAATTCTTATGAGAGTTTATGTAAGCAAAAAGCTCAAGGAACTACAAATATCTCCAACGTCGGCCAAAAATTTGATATTACCTTCATTATTTATTGGTGGTGCGCGCTATATGCTACAAAACTATTTGGATGCCATGTCTCTATGTAAATGGTTTGGATATCCTGATTTCTTCATTACCGTTATGTGTAATCCCAAATGGCCTGAGGTTAAAAGGTTTCTTAAGGATACTTCACTTCAACTAGAAGACAGACCTGATATACTATGTAGGTTGTTCAAGATCAAGCTTGATGCATTTATTAAAGACCTAAGGGAGAATCACATTTTCAGCATAGTTCAAGTAGGTATTTAAAATTATGTTTTTTCATAATTGATAAAAGTTTATGATTTTTATTTTATATTATTTATATTTTTGCTTACAGTCTAATAATATTTTATTTTGTGCAAAGTATTTTGCAGATGGTTATATAATTGAATTTCAAAAAGAGGTTTGCCACATAGTCATATATGTCTATTTATGCATTCTAACTACAAGCTACCCACTGTTGAATTTATCGATCCAATAATTTCCGCCGAGATACCAAACATAGATGAAGATCCAGAATTGTATTCACTTGTGAATGAGTTCATGATTCATGGTCCATGTGGAGCTGAAAATATCAATTGTCCATGCATGGTGGACAAAAAATGCTCTAAAAACTTTACAAAGCAATTCTGTAATCATACGTCTGTTGATCAGAATGGTTTTCCCTTATATAGGAGAAGAAACCATGGTCATTTAGTCCAAAAATTGGGTGTGAAGTTGGATAATAGAAATGTTGTCCCCTACAACAAATATCTATTGAAAATATATCAGACACATATTAATGTTGAATGGTGCAATTAGGGATCTTCTATAAAGTATTTTTTAAATACATAAACAAGGGACCTGATAGAGCTACAGTTTCCATTGTACGAAGCAACAATGATTGTGATAATAATGATGCGGTCGATGAAGTAAATGAGGATTACGAATGTAGATATTTATCAGCATGTAAAGCATCATGACGAATTTTTAAATATGTTGTTTATTACAGGTATCCTTCTGTGGTTAGACCGCCTTTTCATCTTCCTGGTCAACCACAGATTGTATATGGGGAAGACGATGATATTGACAATGTTCTGGACAAAGCTTCTGTTGCTTCTTCAATGTTCGCAGCTTGGATGAAGTGTAATGCAATTTATCGTGATGCACGAAAACTTACGTATGTTGAATTTCCTTCAAAGTTTGTTTGGAAATGTGGTGATAGGATTTGGAAGCCACGGGAAGTAGGAAAGTGCATTTGTAGAATTCATTCGGTTTCACCTAATCTAGGGGAAGCTTATTTCTTAAGGATTCTGTTAAATAAAGTGAAAGGTCCGAAATCATTTGAAGAAATTCGCATAGTAAATGGTGAAGAATAATATTCTTTTAGAGATGCTTGTTATGCAGGTATTATAATTTTTTTCATTATTATTTATTTTAAAAGTAAATTATTTATTTTTAAACATACATTAAATAATATTTTAATTATAAATAAATATTGTTAATAATATTTTTAATTAATTTAATATTTGTCCTCCATACTTATCACTCAATGAAGATCATCTTAAGAACTTAACTTTGTTTGAAATAGAACAAGTTTTACTTCGGAACAACTCCAATCTCAAAAAATATAA